CTAATCCCATCACCCATGTGATCACTGTCTGTCACAGTCACAAAAAGCAAAACGAAAATTATTTCTATTTTAAGTTATAATAAATCGACCTGCTTTGGATCGGACTTTCATTTAATAGTGCACTTAGGCTCAGCGTTCCTATTTTAAGAATGAAAGGCTCTATTGCTTGTTTCATCATTCCTTGTCAAACGTCCTTTAAGCTGATCCTATTTCATTTAGGGACGAAGGAGAGAGGGTCCATATTCCTTTCACACTTGGTCTTATTGAAGGAAACTTTTAAAAGGATTGCATGTGCTTAATTTGAAATTACTTCGCTTGCACAGGAATAAATTAAGAATAATAAACTTTTTTCCTTTAATTGTCAAAAAAAAAAGTGTTATTCTCTTTGGTAATTTAGAAAGAAAGAAGGAACTCATTCCCCTAAGATGAAACTATGGAATAATTGAGGGAAATTTATAAATAAGGACGTGGCATAATTCAAGATCATGAAATAATAGTGAAATTCAATTTAAAGATTATGGTCTTTTTATGTATGCAATTAAAAAATATTCTTCTAACTAAAATACCTTTCGTGCCACTACTACAGAGAACATTGGAATTGATGAGTTCAACATGTCTTAATACTTGGTGGGGAAATAACGTCGAAAAAAACTTGAAAAATGTTTAGCTTGAATTTTAGAATTGGATCTCACTTTTTTATGCTCATTACAGTTTCCATTAGGTCTCTGCCTTCTTCACGCTCCAAGCATTCAATTAGAGTGTTGTATTAAAAAAAATAAAAAATACATAGAGTTGTGCCTAGCTCATCCTTGATTGCCAAGTGTGGGGTAAACTCTGGCCGGCCGCGATGATCACCCTACCTTCTCCTCCAAAACTCTCCATTACTGAGTGATCAATCTGCAAAAAAGCATAAGCGCGCGTGTATGTATAAGCCGATGACCTTAAACTTTTGAAAACAATAATATAACAATGAATGAAGTTGTCAGTGTAACTTACCCAGCTTTTAAGCGTGAGAGATTCTCATAAAGGTCGACATCAAGAAAGGTGCCATAATTAGTGAGATCATAATATTTTTGATTCAACGAAGGCCCGTCAAAGTTTTGCATCTGAATGTGAGATAATTATTGGAAGTTAACAGATTGATACAAACTTGTAAAAGACGATAAGGACAAACCAGCTTTGGTCGCTATATATAGAAGAGGACCAAAGGTTTGCTTTGGTATCTGATGATTCTGAAGAAGACACCAGTACTGTATCCTTTCGAGTCTTTTGAAGTAAACACAAGCAAACCAAACGGTCCCAGTTAGCCACCTTCTACTGCGGCACCCTTCTGCTACACAGACGCTGGGATTCTCGTAGGCACTGGAATGTGGGAGTGTCTTGATTTTTATCCAATTTTAATTTGCCAAAGTCTCTATATGGAGTTGGTGCCTCTCCAGACAAATCTTATGTTAAGCATGTCCGTAAGGTTAGTCTGGATGAACTAAAACTTGATTATTATCTCACTGGGAGGTACAATGCAAAGAAGGATAAGCTCATCTTGGATGCCTCTGGATTCCAAAATATTGAATCTGTCATGAGGTATGATTATGGAAAATATTATGCCTCCTTTGCATCATCAAAAAAGCGTCTTGGAGGCATAATATTTTCCATAATCATTCCTCATGACAGAGTCAATATTTTAGAAATCCAGAGGCATCCGAGATAAGCCTATCCTTTTTTCCATCATACCTCACAGTGAGATAGTATAATCAAGCTTTAAGATAATCTAGAGTAACCATACGGACATGCCTGACATAAGGTTTGTCTGCAGAGGGACCAGCCTCCAAATCGGGACTTTGTCAAAACTGGATAACAACCAGGACATTCCCACATTCCAGTGCCCATGGCCGAATATATATAGAGGGTGCTTTTGGCTTCAACCCGATTCAAAAAATCTTTAGAACCGACCGGTCTAGCTAGGGTTGGAGGAAAAACCAAGCAAAACTATAATAAAAATCACAAAATCAAAAAAGAAGTAATAGTAGCCCTCGGCTAAAGAAGAAAGAAAGAAAAAGAAGATGGTGGAGAAGAAAATCAAAAGAATCAAGAATGCCATCACGTTGTCTTCGTTTCAATAGGAATAAAAATTGCAAAAATCTCGGATATCAAAAGATATAACAAGAAAACCCATAAAAAATCACTTGAGAAAGGACGACTAAGGAGAAGGCAGGTGAAGGAGAAAATGCAACTGATTTAATTGGCAGAGGAGATCGAGACTGTGAGAGAGAAAGTGGGTTGGATGTGGAGGATGCAGGGAGACGACAGAGTTATATATGTAATGTTGGTGCCGTGGGAGAATGCAAATGGATCGGAACTGACGAATCCCAACTACGTTGCGATTTGCTCATTTAATTAAGCCGACAATAAGTTATGAAGAGATGAGCCAAAAGCCCAAAACCCAAAATAATTTCTGGTTTGACGTGACCATCGCCTGTTCCTAAAAAAATTTATCAAAGGATCAATAATAAGTTTTATTTAAAAAAATTATGTTTTTATTTTAATAATAATTTATTTTATATTAATCTTTATTTGTGATTAATTTTGTTGAAAGGAAGTTGGCTGTGATTTTCCCTGCATACTTATAGCAATTATCTGATATATTCCACCAAAGGCAACTTTTTCCACGGAATTTGTGAAACCGGACCGGACCATTGAATAGACATTATCTTATTATTTTTTCTTAAAAAAAATATAATTTTAAATTCTTGCATTTTGTTATTAATGTATTATAAATTTCTGTATTTTTTTTATATTTTAAATCTCTATATTTTTATTTTTTGGTGTTATAAGTCTCTCTTAAGATCTTACACTTTATTCATTTAAAGACATAGAATATCAAAAAGTAAAAATATAAAGATTAAGAACATCAAAAAAAATACAAGAAACTATAACAAAAGCATTATATTAATTAACGTTAGAAAATAAAAAAGGACGGTTCTTAGCCTAACCTTCTGTGCATGCGTACCGATTAAAGATACCACTTTTACAGATAGCAAAACCTATATATCATTAATTAGGGATACTTTTTTTCTTTCTTTCCCTTTCACTCTGTCCTTCATTCCCACTAGCTTCAATGAAATATAATACTCCTTCCATTTATTTTTGTAGAAAAAAAATATATCACATAATTTATAAAAATTAATTAATTATATTAACTATATTTAAAAATAAAATAATTAAATTATAATACCTTTCATTAATTGTGTTAATAAGTTTTCATTAATTATTTCTTTTGATTATGAATGATAAAATTATCAAGAATAGTTTAGAAATTTTGCAATAAATGCTTATAAAAAAATGTGATTTTGTTTATATAAAAAAAGCAAACTAAAAGTGATAATTTTTCCTATAAATAAAAACAGATAGAGTACTTATTAACTTATATATGGCATTACATATTGGGGTAAGCTTTCATTAATTGTAAAATTTATATGACAACTTCATAGATTCCTAATATCGAAAAACGTCCACGTAAAAAAAAAATTATAGAAAAACGATTAGATGCCAATATGCTGTAAAGAGAGCAGAAAATTTTTTACATGTACCGATGCACCACACGATCCATACTTTATTTAATAAAAACATGTTTTATTACAATAGTGCAATCCAATAAGATTTAATGTGTCATGATTTTTAATAACTTTATCATCAACAATGATAAAATTAATTTATATTTACAGTCATCATGTATAATATGTTTTTGTTGGAAAGAGTATAGATTATGACGTGGTGATGCGTTGGGTTTATATAAAAAAATTTCAAAAGAGCTTTGCCATCCAAGAGTATAATTTAATGTTTTCACTTGGAGTTGCGCATTTATTAACGCTGTGTTCTAATTTGCCGGCATTTATATTGTCTTCCACCCAAAAAATGGCACTGCCTCTACCTTTCTCGGCCTTTCGGCCAAGATCAAGTGTAAATAGATGACCTCGAAAAGTCTGTGGCCCAAATGTAATGTACGGCAATGGAATTAAGTCCAATGGGAATGGTGGTTCGAACTACTGTAATTCTGGACCCAAAAAGAGTTTCAATGGATTGAAATATGTTGATCCTGTTTTGAAACATTCAATTACGACCAACAAAATGGGCCTAGGTCCACTTTAATCTTTGGGAGGGAAAGTGCTGTTCTGCTTTAGTGCCTTCTCGAGACACTTGGATTTTTTTATATAAAAAAATTAAGACATAGGATAGAATGACCCGGGAACTACAGAAATGAGATTTTTACGACAAATCGTAATTTGGCATTAATCATCTTATGATGTCTCTATTTGTCATTTCCTCTTATAATAATATTTTAAGAATGATTAATTTATCAGGGATTTAATTAGTACGGTTCCAGTTTGAGAATTGAGAGAATGAAGATGGAGACATGGTGGGGTAGACTTGGTTTTTATCGGCGATCTGAAAGCCCCAGCAAGAATGATACCATCGGCTGACACAGGAGTTGCACACATACAAGGATATAATTATTTACGGACACACGAATTAGTTCCTCTTCAACACATTTCCATACAAGCTAATTGACTTGGCCTAGTCAATAGAACTTAACTCTGCTATGCACGTGTCTATGGTAGGCAATTCAAGAGATCAAATGTAAAGCAAAACCCACAACACACACACACACACAAACACTTTTCCGTTTCACGTCTGATAGATACCACATGCAAACCTGAGGGGTGGTACCAGATTCCAATGCAGCCAAAAAGCCATACCATTTTTGTGAGAGGCAGGGAGGGTGAGGCTTGAGGGCTTTGGAAAATCATTCACTCCCACTAAGGATGGTATCTTTCGGTTGCATGACCATCATTCTTCGCCATTTTGCTGGTGCCGGTGCCGTCATAGCAGCTGGTGTGATTGTAACAGCCAGCTCTTACGGTTGCTTTACCATCCACATAAACAGACAGAATGCCATTACCATAAAACACTAGAATCATCATAAACTAAAGCTTCAACCAGAATGTCAGCAGAATACCAAATCAATTAGACTAGACAACTCTGACATAGAATTTCATGTCAAAAGGTGTTAACCACCATTACACTAAACAAATATATTGCCATATTGACCATATCGCTACTATTCTTTTCAAACCAAAACAAGAAACTCAAAATTATGTTATGATACAGAAAACTACGTATCAGTAGTAGTATTGACATTACAAAGCTACAATATGCATTCACCATCCAGGGGTCTGTTCACTCTTTCAAGATTAATCCTCCACTTCATCTTCTTCAAACTCCTCCTCCTCCTCCTCTTCACCGCTTTCCTCTTCCTGACCCTCTTCTTCATCATCAACAATGAAGCCTCCCAATGTCTCATCACCTTCATCTTCAACAATTTCATACACCCTAGGCGCTTTCTTTCGTCCAGAACTTTTACTTCCTTTGTTGTCCTTGGTTTGTTTATTTTGGTCTTTTGATCGAGTAGAGTACCCAGATCTAACTTTTCTTGTGTTTGCAATAAGGTCCACATCTTCTTCACTTTCCACCCAGTCATCATCTTCATCTCCGTTGCCTTTAGCTTTCTTTCGCTTTCTTCTTATGGCTGTCCTCTGCTCTTCAAAATCATCTTCATCTTCGCTATCTTTGCCAGGTTCCTCCAGGAACCAGTTCCAACTCTTCACATTGCGAATCATGTCCTTGGGATAATGATCAAACTCATGTCCCATCACCAAAAAACCAAACTCTGCAATTCCAAACCTGGCCCATGAGAATCTAGAGTAATTGGACACAGAAAATAACTGAATTCTACTATATTGTTCAGCAATGACCATCCCAAAATAATTCTTTTTACAATGGAAAAACTTGCATTTCTGGTGCTATTTCCAAAAAGTCTTGTTGTCCGAAGAAAAGCAAAAAATTGTTGATCATCATTCCACCATCCAGGGGGAAAAAAGGCAAGTATTATAGGAGGAAAAGTGGACAAAGAATACAGTAAAGCATAGGCAAGCCAAGTTTTTTTTTAAATGAAGATTAAGTTAGTATTTTGATCTTGTAATTTTATTTATTATTCTTTTCTTGGGTTTCTTAACTTGGTTTGTTTTCTGCAGGATTAGTCCTTTATCAACAAATTCATAGACCGTATACCCTACAGTTAGTTCATTCACACATATATATGACAGAGTTAATACAGGATTCTTCCAATTTGGTCACTTGATAGAAAAAGCAAATGGCCGCAGGATAAACATGGTCCGATTTTGAAGTTAGATTATCAATTTAACACAAAGTGCCGAATCAGAACAATGAATAATCTTTAAAAACCATAAATTTAAAAGTTACGAAACCAAAACTTCATTCATTCAATGACATATCTCATCCAGTATAGAGAGTTTAGAGAAATTACAGATTTAGCTATCAGCTCATTACCTTTAACGGTGTCAATTCCTGAAACATCAATGTCCTCAATGTCAAGCCCGTTACTTGAACTCTCAGAAACCTCCTTCTCAATATCCGAAACCGTCTTATTTCCGTCACGAACTCTACTGTATTTCAAATCGAACCAAACCGGCGCCTTCCCAGACAAACAGAAACGGTCGCCAACTTCCAACTCACCCTTCTCGAACTTCCTGAAAATCCGAATTTGACCATCGTTCTTGCTAAACAGCCAAATGGGGTTCCTTCCGATAACCTCGAACGAAACCCTAGGCTTTCCTCCGGCGTCGATCTTCTCAAGCGAAGTTCTCAGGCGGAACAAAACGTGACGACGAGAAACGGTGCGGTCGTTGGTGTTAAACCCTGAGCCTCGTCCAAACGGTACCTCACCACGCGTTCCCAACACAAATTTGGTACCGTCTTCACCTTCGACCTCAACCTCCATGGATTTCCGCTTGGAAGCCACTGCATTTTGATTTCGGCTACAGTAAGTAATTTACGATGGCGGTTAGAATTATAATGGTTAATTAACCTTTTGCAATATAGTTACAAGTTAATTTTCATAAAAAAATTAAAAATATTTTAATTAAAAATATGATCATATATAATTTTTCTTTTTCTCAACAAATATAATTTTTCAATACCATAAGTCAATACTTTTTTTCGTAAGTCAATACTTCCCCTGCCGCTAATTATAGAATTTTTTTTCTTAAAAAATTCAATTATTTTAGTTTTTGGTAATTAATTAATATAGGTGTACGTCCATCAATTTTCATCAAAAATAATAAATACATAGAGAATTCAAATGGGATCTTTTTGTGGGAGTAGTTTCTATAAATCGAACGATAGTTTTGTAAATTAAATCCCTTATCCAGTGATTATGAATTTTCAAATAGAAAGATACGCCCAAGTGTTTTAACAAAGTCAACATAACATTTTACCCCCCCCCCAAGTCAACATATCATGGTCGTTTGTGTTGGAGAGTGCTTAAATATTTAAAAAAAAATTGATTACATGAACAAATTTTGTTATGACTATATTAGTTTCAGAAATTTGGGAGCAGTTATTGTTCATTTGATTCAAATATGTAAAGGATCTCAAACAGCCCCATTTCAAAAGCAGAATTGAATGGGCATGCTAATACTATAATAATAAGCGTTGCTCGAAAATTACATTGCGTTTGCAAATTTTAAGTTAGCACCTTACTTCACATTTTGGAATGGATTAGCTATATTAATAATGAAAAAGTTGATTATAGATTCAGAAATGTCAAAAGTGAAAAGGATAAGAGAAAAGTAATGGCAATACAATAAATTAATCACTTATTCCAAAGATAAGAATAGTGGATCAAACCGAAACTTCAATTAAATTTGTGAGAATAAACGGTACTACAAATTGACAATAATATCAAGCGTAAATTAACTTGTTTACAAACATATTCCTGATCAATTTCTAATTACAAGTGCTACAGATGAATGTAAAAATTGTGCTGAGGAGAGAACCCATGGGTAAACTTCATCAAAGCAAAAGTTGCATCACACAGAAGGACTCAAAAGCCTCGTATATATGCCTCAGTCCTTGAAAGATACTTATTCCTCAAAGTTCATTCTAATAAATTGGATCCCTTTATTATTATTATTTGTTTTTTTTTTTTTGGCTCAGTTGATTTGTGCTTTCTTCATGCTCCAAGCATTCAATCTGGTGATCTTGACATTAGCAGATCCATAATTGAAGACATAGAGCTGTGCCTCATCATTGATTGCCAAAGTGGGGTAAACTCTGGCTGTGATCACTGCCTTGCCTTCTCCTCCAAAACTCTCCACTACTGAGCGATCAATCTGCGAAATGGACAAGCACACACATCACATAAACATGTTGAAGTGTGTTTATTATTGTGCGTTCACCTTTCACTTTTGAGACATTACATTATTATTATAATAATGAATGAACTTTTGTGGATATCGGCAGGCCCAGGACCTTTAATTTATCAGCGGGGAGAATTTTTTTATGTTTTTTAATAAAAAAATTTATGATTATTATTTAAATAAAATGTGCTTATAACTTTTAAAAGAAATCAACTCACTAATAACATATTTTCCTGATTGTCCTCTCCATTCAAAATTTAAAACATATATTCAAACTAGCATATGTCAATTTCAAAGTGATTGCACAACAGTTGCGTGTAGATTGCACAAATACACAGAAGTTGCATAAAAATAGCAGAAAGTTTTTACAAAAAATACACAAAAATCGAATAGAAATTGCACGACTAGCATACAGAATTTGCACACTAACCTGTCCAGAGTTTTCATAGAAAATCGATCTTTTCAAGAAAAGCGACACAAAGTAAAAGAATAAAATTAATAAGATATATGGAATGTTAAAACCTATCATATTTCAGGTATTATATTTTCCCCCAAGTGAGGAGGCCGGGGCAAGATCTGCGCACCCTCACATGCAAGTCACATGCAACATAGATATACCATTTAATGTTTATGGATGTCAACAACTTACCAAGCTTCTAAGAGAGAGATTCTCATGAGAAGGGTCAACATCAAGAAAGGTTCCATAAGTGGTGAGATCATTATTTTTATTCAATGAAGACCTGTCAAAGTATTATAATTGGATTTACAAAAGTGAGATAACGATTGGGAAATAAATTGACAAATTGTACATTTGAAAGAGAAAAGAGGAAGAGAACAAACCTGCTTTGGTCGCTACAGAAAAGGACCAAGGGTTTGTGTTGGTATCTGAAGATTCTAAAGAAGACAGCAGTGTTTTCTTTCAAGTCCTTTGAAGCAAGAGCAAGCAAACCAAAAGGTCCTAATTCACCTTTTACTGCTGCACCCTTTTTGCTACACAGAACTTGTGGGTCCATCCAATAGTCCAATACTTCTGCCTTCTCAAACCCTTTTGCTTCAAATGAAACTTCTACGTCAGCCTGTTCAGACACGCACATATTAGAACCCCCCTTATTATAAGTTAATTAATTTATGCAGGTGAGGTTCTTTTAAATATTATCATATTCACTGTTTCAACGGAAGCGCCATAGAAGGATCTTGTCTGTTAGCCTTTGCATAAGAATTAAACAGATAATTTATGAGAGTTCATGTGATCTTAAACCTGATAATTATATTATATTATATATTACTGTATTACTTAAGGTATAGATTTGTAAAGGAGACTTACTTGTGCAGCTGTGATACCAGTGACTTGGAGGAGCTGACCAGCCTTGAGCACTTTGATTGGCCAGCTGATTGGTTTTGCACGTAGCTTCTCAATTTCAGGCACCGGCCATTGCACCAGTTGTTTCCCTGACTTGTGAAGCCAAATGGCCCTTGGAATTGCCTACGTATCACATGAGCATTAATATTAATATATTATTCAAAACATGTATTTTCTCTTGACTAAACTATTATTATAGTTCATCTTTGACTTTGCATAAGCATTCTAGTTGAATTTCAACACATTATCGTGAGCTGGCTATCTCATATTTCAAATCATATATAAAAACCCATTATTTTAATCTATCTTGCATATTCAACTTGACATTTTTTTAATGCATTAATGAATCTGTTACCTACAAAGCAATACATATATAAAGTATGAAATATGTTACTATCAACGTTAACTTACATGAATCCCTGACCACCCTTTATTGAGATCATCAGCAACGCTTGAGGATTCGTTAGCCCATCCTAACAAAATTCTTCTCTTCTTTGCATCATCAAAAAACGTTTTGGAGGCATAATATTTTCCATAATCATACCTCAAGAAAGAGTCAAGATTCTGGAATCCGCTATCCGGGATAAACTTATCCTTCTTTGCATCATAAGTCCCAATGAGATAGTAATCATGCTTTTTATCATCCAAACTAACCTTAAGCACATGCCTAACATAAGGTCCATCAAAAGAAGTATCAACCCCAAACATGGACTTAGACAAGACAGGGAAGAAATCAGGACACTCCCACATTCCAGTGCCTTTAGCAGAATAAAGAGGATGTTTGGCTTTAACCCAATGAACAAAGTCTTTAGTTCTATATAATAGTGCCTTCCCTGTAGTGTCTCTTTTGTTCCCAACTAGGACTCTATAGTGCCCATCTTTGCCTAGCCAAGCAGTCGTAGGGTCTCTGAATGAGCTAGAATTGATTCCATTAGAACTAGCGGGAGCCATCAAGGGGTTTTGTGGGATCTTAATCCATTCCCTGAGGTAGGGGTCTGAGGCATTTTTGGGATAGGCCAAGTTTTGGACTTGGTTGTTATTTTGGTCAATTCCTGTGTATAGAATGGCAGGCTTGCCATCTGGAAAGATCGTGGCTGATCCTGACCAACAGCCGTTGATATCGGACGGCTGAGAGGGGTAGATGGCTTTGTCAAGTGGGGTCCAGTTTACAAGATCCTTTGATACAGAATGAGCCCACACAATGTTCCCCCAAATAGCTCCTTTGGGATTGTATTGATAGAACAAATGGTATAGTCCCTTATATCTCATTGGTCCTGCACAACAAAAAGCCATTTATAAAGTCAACTTTCCCCCTCTTACACATATCTTAGGACAAATAAAAGATTTAATTTGACTGAATAACTTGAAAACTACGTGGTTGCACAAGAAATGAGAATTTTTAATTTTTTTTTTTTTTAGAACAACGCAAAGTCTAAAATAGAAGTCAATATTTTATGGGGAAAAAGCAATCAGTTTGGAAATGAAACAAATAAACTATATGCATGGTATATTCCGTTCTTCTTTCTTTCTTTCTTTCGTTCTATTTTTTAAAAGGTGATTTTAAAAGAATCAAAATAAAATATATGTAAAGGACCATTTGGTAATTTACTATGACAGAAAAAACATACAAACATATATCATATGCTTTTTTTTTTTAATTGAGCTGTGGTTCGAATTACGTACATACACACAAAATTAATTCATGTCTACATCCTTATTTAAAATAACTTGAAGGGTTTAACGACCATGTCCAAGCTAGGATGACGACTTTCAATAATATCACAAGGTCATCAATCCTTTTCATTCATTTTGTCTCTAACACAGAGAATATGTCTGTATTTTGATTCCTAATCTTATTTTTATGAAACTTCCTGCGTTAGAACTCCTGTTGAATGAGCTCAGCATCAAGAATTCTTGCATTTTGATGCGACCACGATCATAGCTAGTTTTCTAATATTCATCTTGTTGGATATCGCAAATTTCAAAGTTTCATCAAACATTTTGACTAAGCACCGTTCAAAATCTGCAGTCATATTCATATATTTTCTGAACTGGCCTAATCAAGAAAACAGCTATATGGATACAGAAGAATACAAGAAGGAATTAAAGAGGATAGAAACTAACCGTTAGGATCTGCAGATCGAAACAAAAGCAGAAGCCCATTTCAGCATATCATGTCAAATGACAGCAGAAAGAAAGGAGGAGAACAAAATGTCAGAGACATGATAAGAATAACCTTGAAAGAAGCTTAAGGATATGAAGAAGATGAAGGAAGTTGAGTACCGTTGATCCAATTCTTGGAAGGTTGGAAGTGGAAACCAGTTCTGTAAGGTTGATTTGAGGAAGAAGAAGATACAGTACTCTGAAGGTTTCTGTAAGCATGGTGGGTGGCTTCAATGTTAAGAATAAACAATGGCCGAGAACGAAAGAGAAGATAGCCAATACATGGATTGAAGAGACAGCCATTGTTGTAGGGTTTTGTAATTCGTGAGAATGACGATATAGAACCTTGACCTCGATGCTATATATATTTATAGAAAGAGTCGGTAATAATTCATAAATGAGTACGGCATTAAGAAATAATAAGTTATCTAGTTAACTAGATTTGATTGCCAACTTGTTTGCTCGAAACAAGAAATATAAGAAAAATCAAAGATAATGCGGAAGAAGCATCCAGGAAAAATTAACACATGATAATATATCATTGGATAACAGAGAAGTCAACTACATAGAAGAGTAAGAGCTTTATTTTAAGATACACACACAGTCAAAAAAAAATACAAATATATTATTTTTCTCAAGTCGGGACTTTTTCAAGGAGCGTTTTGCTGATTGTTTATGTACGTTTATTATTAGACTAATTTCATCTCTTATCAAAACCTTTTTCACTATATAATTTGTATTGCAAGTCTTCCTCGAATTTATCGATGGAGGAGAAAAGGCCAATTTTTCTCATGTAATTACTTTTAGCTTATGAATACTTCCTCAGACCAGAAATAACAAAAATGAAATCTCAGAAGTATAAAATAAAAAATGATAATTAATGACTTAACCCCTCGATTTGGAGACGCCATGAAATCGGCTGATACGAAACGAACAGAAAAAAGCGGAAAAGGTAGTAATGTTTGGCATGCAAAAGCTATAATGATATCGTGTACAGTTGCTGACCAAGAAAGCACAAAAGCAATGAATTGGACTTATCCTGAAAACGTGGATTATTATATAGATGGGTCTGAAAACATATATTATGTTCACAATCAATCACAGATCTATGACAGTGTGGATACAATTAATTTGAGTAAAAGGTTATAGGAGGGAACAGGAATTGGTGAAAGTCCGTAATAATCGAGTTCGTCGTCTGTTGGTGGTGCTGCTAAACTTTGTAGAATTGTCATGAAGAATTGTTCATGGTTGATTATAATTGGAGTGCATTATATATGGTGTCCAACTCACAACATATCTCGTGCTTATCTTCAAGCCTTATGACAAACTAAAGTCGTGTTCAATGTTCAATTACTAGTTAAATAAGTACTATACTTATTAATCGCATGAATATTGAATTAATTCATCTCTTAAGAAGGATTGTTATTTATGAATTTCAGGCCATTGTGGTTGACAAAAAACGTTAATACTGTAATAATTAATTTTATCATAAGATTAGAATAATTTTTTCTGGGCTCATAATTATATTGTGTCACGAGTTAAACAATATTTATCCTCCAACGACATGTTGAATAAAACTGAAGGGAGTAGTAATTTCAAAAAAATGCAAGATGTTGAAATTTCTGGGAATGAAATAATGCATAAAAGTGGACTAGAAGAAGTAACGTAAAAGGACGATATTCTTTGACCAGCCATTGGGGTGACATGGGGGTGACAATTTATTCAAAAACCTTGAATTATCTGTATGAAAACATGGGAAAAAATGCAATACATCTCACCCAGATTTAAAAGAAAAAAAATCTACGCATATACATGTGGGCGGTCATCCTAAGAAACGATAAAATTCAATAACTAATCAATTAATATTATTGATTCGGTTGATAAAGATTTAACCTACAAGTTATAAGATCATGACTCTTGTGAGATCAAATTTTGCTGAGGACCTTATTGTTAGACAATCTATAAAAACATCTATAAGCACTCTTTCAATTTAAAAGCATCCCCTAACTTTAATAAGCCTTGAGACCTAACTTATTAAAATTTTATTTTTCCAACAAAAAAAAAATTGCTAATCTAGGTGGGCCAAGTTGAACCTTTCTTCGTTGAGCCAGCTTTAAAGTGGCCGAAAAAAAGTTAGAGCTCCTTAAACTAGGTCAAAAGGTTTATGAAACTCTAAACTTAATTTTTATGTAATATTTTTTTTAATTTTTAAAAATAATACAACGTAACTCTTACCCATTAATAAAAGACAATTTTAATCATTAATTAATTAAACAATGATAGAAAATGACCTCACAAATTACAAAAAAATGATTGAGAAACTAAAAAATGGCCCCAAAAAATTACAAACAAAGACTCAAAAATTTAAAAAAAAATCTAGTCATTTTTTTAAATTTTTCATATCATTTTATAATCAACTAACAGTTAAAGTTAACTTTTATTAATAATGAATATTATATTGCATCATTTTTAAAAGTTAATAAGTAAACATTGCACAAATGACGGGTGTAGAGTCGCAAATGCTCTTAAAGATCAAATTGCTATTTAACTCAAGAAAAAAAATGCATATATACTTTTGTTTGTTGATCTATCTAGCTTATGAAACATTTTCGTGGCTCTTTGTTCTATTTTAGTGAAACAATGTCTTTATAATTTTCTCTTTTTTTTTATTCTTGTGTTAAGTAACTCTTTTTTTTTTTTGCACTCTATGATTTTATATTAATGATAATTGAGTATTCTTTTTTTATAACCTAACAATTGAGTATTCCATTGGGTTTATGGTTAGATTATATAATATTGTTGAGTAATGTTAGTCAATGCTGTGCAAACATTTTATATTATAGTTAATATATATATATATATATATATATATATAATTGCATTATGCATTTTCTAACATGTTACAATTCATTATTAGTTTTATTATAGGTTCTTACACTTTTTTTAATATTTTAGATCTCGACACTTTTGTTTTTCAATGTTACAAAAGAACACTGAAAAAAAAAGTATAGAGATTTATAATAAAACTATAAAGACATGTAGGAACTCAAAATTATTTTTTATTTTTAAATATTTTTAGTCTTTCTTTCATATTTGAAATCTCTCCCTTCTTAATTATTAGATATTAGTAAATTTTTTAATTATATATATACACATGAGTTTCAATGAGCTAGTCCTCAGTCTTGAAGAATTAACCCATTTTTTCAATCCAAAATACAAGTCTGACCCTCTATTTAAATGGGTCGGCCTGACAAACTCAACTTATTTTTCTAATTCTAATCCATTATTTCTTGCCTTGAAGGCTAGGCTTGAGACCTCTTTTGTCTTTAAAAAAAAAACTTTTTGTTGTATTAGGAGAATTAAAATGAATTATCTCGCTACTTTATGTAGCTACTTTTATAAGTAATATTGTCAGTTGAATCTTTACTAAAAGAGGTGTAATATATAATAGTCAGTTGTGACTCGAATAGAATTATATCTAAGTAATTATATACAATAAAAAATATTATCAATTTTAATTTTAATTTTTGCTAAAAGTCAGAGAATAGCGAGCATGCTCTGAAAGAAAATATTATGAATTATGTATTTATTTCAATAGGTCAGCAAACTTTGATCATAAAATAAATGAGCTTTAAATTTTATCTGTAAACAGTACACTTATTAGTGCGGTCCAACTTTCACGTTTTAATCTTCTTAATATAGTCTGGCAAAAAAAATATTCTTAATATAGTATTAATGTATTATGGACATATGAAGTACCTTAAAAAAATTATAAATAGACAATAAGGGCTAGAAAACACGAATTCCCAATCTTCCACCGAAGCGGGTCTAGTTGTTATATCAAACAATTAAAAAATGTGTTCCGGCCAAAACAAAAAAAAGTGCATTGAAAGATTTTACATTAAATTATTGATATAGAAGGCTTTTAAACTTTAAACCATATATTTTTATAGAGTGAAGGGTCATAAAAAAAACCTAATATCTTAAATTTTTTTAAAACAATATAATTTTAAAATTTTTAAAAATAATGTAATGTCACTCATTATTGTATCTGAAAAATGTTGATCATTAAAAACAAAATTTGACTAAAATTTTACACGTATCATTTACTCATTCGATGCACTTCTTCTTCATCGTTCACATCAAGAATTGTTTGATGTGTCTCTATTATCGAGGTGAATGAGGAAGAAGAAGAAGTGACCGAATGAGTGAATGACATGTGTAAAGTTGTTGGTTATTTTTTTTTTTTGACGTTCAACCAACGTTTTTCAACTCTAATGATGAGATTATATTGCGCTCTTTGTAAAAATTTTGAAATAATATTATCCTATAAAAAAGTTTAAAATATTAAGTTGAAAAATATTTAAGATATTTTTATTTTATTAACATTATTTTTATGTAGTTTAACTTTCAATGTAAATATTATTTTATTCTTAAACATGTGAAATCTATACTATAAATTTGGCCATAGCGTGATCTCAACTAGACATGAATTCCATATATTTGCATGAAATTTTTTAAAAATTACAAGTTGAAAGTGTCACATCTCTTCATTTCTTTCAAGGTTGAAACTTGATATCGTGACCTTTCTTAACTTTACAAAATTGGGCCCCTGGCTGACTTTTTAGTTGTGGATATATATATGTGTGGAAAGAAAAGTCTAATTTGAACCAATTAGATGCAATAAAATAACAATTTGTTAGCAATAAGAGAGTCTAAAATTCCGTCCGTCATTTGAATTCCAAAAATAGGCATTCAACTAAAACTGGATTCTCCAGCTTTTCTGGGTCCTGCTCATTGATTTTGTTCAATAATGAACAATATATACCAGAAAATATATTGATTTAATATGTAATAATCAAGGAAGAAGATACTAATATCATAACCAATCCGAATAAATTTCATACCCAATATATTTCACATTCACCTGTTATAAGTTTCTGTCACCTGTGAAATACTTAGAGATCAAATCATTTAAATGAATTAGAAGTCTCAAGGACAGAAAGTGCGCCGTGGCAGTCTCAATTTGATTATGTTGGTCCTATTCTTGACAAAATAATCAATCCTGTTTACCAACAAATAATAATCAATTCAGGTTTCACCCCTTTTCTTTTCACACGTAGGGGAAGACTAAAACCAAAAAAAAAAAGAAAAATAAAAGGAAAAAAATCATGATCTTAGACCTTCATTAAATCCAATTTCTGCTTGT